CTACACTAGTGAATCTTCGGCATAAGAAGATTCTCCTAATAATGATGATAACGAATTTTCAAGTAATTTTGAGAATTATTCTCATTCTATGTTCGACATACCAGATATTTCAGACACACCGAATATTTCAGAATTACCAACAGATGAACTAATTAAGGGGATTTTGATATGGATTATGAAGTTCAGGTCGAGTCATAACATACCAAATATCGCAATTGAAGAATTAATACAATTTATTAAAATAATATTGAAAGTGTATAAAAATATCAATCCCGAATCATTTCCAAATTTATTATATATGTTAAGAAAAGCGTTAGGACTTATCGATCGATTTACGCAATTTGCAGCTTGCCAAAAATGCCACAAATTATACAAAAAAGAGGATATAATATCAAATGATGATAATACTATTATGAAATGCAGCCATGTCGAATTTCCAAATTCAGCCACAAAGAGATTAAAGCAGTGTCAAACTCCTTTAGGAAAGAAAATTTCTTTAAATAATAGTATATCAATTGTTCCTGAATTAATTTATCCGGTCTCGAGTATACAACAGCAGCTTTCTAGTATGTTCAAGTGACCAGGATTTGAAGAATTATTGCGGCATTGGACTCGTCATTCAGTAATTGATAATGTTTTATCAGACATATACGATGGGCAAATTTGGCAAAATCTTAAGGAATCAAACGAACAAGGGTCAAATAACTTTTTCTGACCGGACAAGGCTGATACTCATCTAGGATTAATGATAAATTTGGATTGGTTCCAGCCGTACGAAGGAACGATTTACAGTACAGGTGTAATATACGCAATAATATGTAATCTACCTCAAGATGTTTGATTTAAGCCTGAAAATATGCTTATACTCGGCATATTACTGGGGCCCAATGAGGTTAAATTACATAGAGTAAATCATTACCTTTCACCAATAATCATGGAATTAGAATCACTTTAGGAAGGAGTGAATCTTAATTGCACTAATGAATGTCCAAATGGCAAAGATATTCAAGCAGCATTAATAATTGCTTCATGCGATATTTCTGGAGCTCGAAAATTATGCGGGCACATCTCTACCCTTGCATCATGCCATCGATGCGAAAAAAGGGCCAATAATCGCAATTTTGGTGGTATGGCAGATATGAGCGACTGGTTTATCATAAAAGATCCAATCGAGCATCGTCAAAAGGCTTTAGAATGGCGACGATGCAAATCTAACGCAAAAAGAGAGAGATTCGTCAAGGAGAATGGCGTAAGGTGGTCTGAAATATTAAGACTGCCATATTTTGATCCAATTCATTTTGTTGTTGTAGATCTGATGCATTGCCTTTTCTAGGAATCGCTAAATGGATAACAAAACGAATATGGATTGACAAAGGTGTATTAACAGAAAAAGATCTTCAATCAATTCAAAAGAAAATGGACGAATTTAAAGTACCATCAGATTTGGGACGAATTCCTGGTAAAATCCATTGTGGTGAAGGGTTTTCTAACTTTATCGCTGACCAATGGCGCAACTTTTTCCTAATATATGCCACTGTTGCTTTATGGAATCATCTTCCGGGTAAAGATCACAAAATTCTTACGTATTTCATAAGAATTTGTACGATTTTGGTTAGGCGAATTGTGGAGATTAACGATATAAAAGAAGCCCATAAACTTTTGATAATGATAATTAAATTGATCGAAGAATGCTATGGCAAAGAAAAAATAACGCTAAACCTTCACCTATCATTACATCCATGCGAGTGCTCTTACGATTACGGACCTCTGTATTCGTTCTGGTGCTTTAGCTTTGAACGAATGAATGGCTTATTAGGTAATTCAAATTTAATTGTGTCGATTTTTCGAATTATATTATTTCATTTAGCAAAGATTAATAATAAATTATTTATTAGGATCTTTACCTAATAGCCACCGCCAAATCGAACCTGAACTAATGCGTCGATTGATGACTGAAGCGCAAATAAATGATATTATTAATAGTTCAAGTTCAGAAGTAATAGGATTCGAATTACTCGATAAACGACCTTTTGTCAGTTCTCTTTCCGAATTTCTAACAGATGAAATGTATCAATTTTTGATGAATTCCAGAAATATATCGGAGTCACCAATTACTGGTTGCGAGGAATTTCTGGGTAAATTTTTAGCACCGCAATCCAAAGATATTCATCTTAAGGAACAAATCTACGATTTACTTATCGAATATTACGAAGATACATATGTAGATTCTATATTCAGAAAACCATTCACAGAAAATTTACCCAATTCAATGATCATTATCAACAGAGTGAATCGATATAGAAGATGTCAAATCTGTGCAGAAACTTTTGGATCTGCTGCTGCAACACGACATATTAAGAGCTCATTCGTCTTAGCTAAATTTATTAATCGTGATGGGAATAGCGTTGATACTTACCCAGGTCAAATCCAATTTTTTTTTGAACATAGCGTTCATTTATCTTCCCGTAATTTGACACACAAATTGGCTTACATCAAATGGTACAAACCGGCAAATTTGACATCTCGATTCCATTTCAGTATTAACGATAATGTTGAAACTTGCAACGTTGAATTATGGGAAGATAGTTTCTATCCAAGCAGTAGAGACAATATAATCCCGATACACAACATTTTAGGTCAGTTTATACCTGTAAAATACAAAAAATCAGATCGATCTAATGCCAGGGAATATTTAGCTGTTATTCCTATAAATAGAAAGTTCCATTTGTGTTGATTTAATTTAACATTCGAACTGGTATTTACACCAATTCGAATTTCAAAACATTTTTTAACAAATTATTTTTTTATTATATTTAGTATTATTAATATAGTATAACCACTATTTTATCTAGAAAAGTGAATAAAAAAAGCATGCAATTTGGCCATTATTTTTTATATTTTTTGTAAAAAAAAAGTTATAGTTCGACCATTATTCTGTTATAGTTTAATTTTATTATACGCATTTCAACCATCATTCTGCAGGATCGAATCAGAGTCGAATATAGATTGAATTGTATATTATTATTAATTTAGGTCGATTTTTTTTAAAATTGGCCGAATTTAGGCTGAATTTTTTAGAGATCGAATATTCCTATTTTGACTAGTGATACTCAATAATTACATCATGCAAATTTTCGTACCAGTCATTAAGCAGAACCGCAGAAACTCTCTTAGTAATAATTATGTCAGTTGAGGAAATAAAAACATATACACATGAACATAAGGATAAATTCGCATAATTACTCATTATTCTAAACCAGGAAAAGAAACTTTCTTAGTAATAATTATGTCAGACGAGGAAATAAAAACAAATGCACGTGAACATAAGGATAAATCGCATAATTACTCATTATTCTAAACCAGGAAATTTTTTCGTACAATTCGCATAATTACTCATTATTCTAAACCAAGCAAAGAAACTTTCTTAGTAATAATTATGTCAGTTGAGGAAATAAAAACAAATGCACGTGAACATAAGGATAAATTCACATAATTTCGATTACTTACTCATTATTCTAAACCAGGTAATTTTTTCGTACCAGTCATTAAAGTAGAACCGCAGAAACTTTCTTAGTAATAATTATGTCAGTTGAGGAAATAAAAACACGCACGTGAACATAAGGATAATATTGATTACTTACTCATTATTCTAAACCAGGCGTACCAGTCATTAAAGCAGTAACCGCAGAAACCTTCGAATATTCGATAATTATATCACTTTATATGGAAATAAATAATTACGCGTAAACATGAGTTTTTTCCTTGTTATTATTATGGATAGAATCGCATGATTTCGATACTTACTCATTATACTAAACCAAGCAATTTTTCGACAAGTCATTAAAGTAGAATCTGCAGGAACCTTGAACCTTCGAATATTTAATAATTATATCATTGTTATATCATATATGGAAATAAAACATAAACACGTGAACATGAGTTTTATTATTATGGATAGAAATTCGCATGATTTCGATACTTACTCATTATACTAAACCAAGCAATTTTTCGTACAAGTCATTAAAGTAGAATTCGTAGGAACTGCAGAAACCTTTGCATACTTAGTAGTAATAATTATGTCAGTCATATCTTACATGTAAACAATAAACATTAAAGTTTTTCTTTGTACGATAAAAAATTTATATAATTTTGAAAACATAAGCATGCATACACATTATAAAAAATCTAATGATACCACTCCTGAGTGAAATAAAATTCCAACTCATTATATATTAGTCAGGGTTGTTTGATCAGCATTTTTTGATCACGAATTTATTAGTTGGTATAACCAATCAGACATGAACAGAAAAATAGAACAATTTACGCATTCAATCGTAACTATACGGAAATCCATAAAACTTACCTTATCAAAAAAGGAAAAGTAATAGTCATATTTTAGATCAGTAATGTTATACAAGATATTAGTATCGCTGTCGTTAAATATAATAAACTTTATTAAAATATGTATTTATTTACAAAATATTCATTTGTTTTATTAAACCGGGGTACTATATGTACGATATCTTGTATTGCTTCTATATCAATAAAGTTATAGATTTCCGTAATTTCTAGTAAGGGACACCCATAAAGATGTGGTTGATTTTGAAATTTGAAGTCATACCACTGAATTAATGCGAGATTTAATGGAATATTTTGATTCTTAAGTTCTATTTTCGCTATTAATAAAACCTTAATTTAAAAAATCATTTTTAAATTAGCAATATTATATAAATATGTAGTATTAAATCAATTAAAAAATTACCTGCCCTTAACAAATGCCTTGATCAGAAGCGTAATCAAATAATTCATCAGAATTCATACGAACAGACACATTACTATACCAAGGTCTGCCATAATAACTGTTAGTAGCACGCATTATTGCACCATTTTCTATTATAACTGATCTGTATATTGTCACTTGGCTTTTATTTGCAATACTTTTGTGATCCATATACAGATTTAAACATTCCAAAAAATTGTCAAATCCATATCTCATTTTGTGGTCTATATTAGCCTGTTCTACAAAAAAATCATGGGCATCTTTTAATAGAAATTTGAAAAGTATTGCTGTAAATTTAAATATACGAGGGATAGTAGCTGAATTTGGTAATCGATGGGTTATATTTGTTATTGATTGTCACCGAATCTATAAAAATTAATTTTTTTTAGAAATTTAATATAGTATTGTGTATTTTATATAAATAATACTTGCTATTTTCATTATTTGAACTTCAATATTTTTTTTATTACTTAATCGGTAGAGTTTCTTAACGTATTCTTTGTGAAGGCTTTCGTAAGTCTCCGTAGTGTATCCATTAACTGCACCAAATGATCGAATTGAATCAATTATATGATATGCCCACGAATGCAGTTTTGGTAATTTTAACTCTGAAGGGGACATACATTGGAGAATTTTTATGAACATTTGAGACCAATTGTTTATAGATTCCTGAAATTATAATTTTAAGTACAGTCACCCCTCTCTACAGCGAACCTCGATATAGCGAATAACATGATATAACGGATCATACAGTGTAGTACCGATTTTAAATATGAAAAAAACCTTGATATAACGAAGTTTACTATTTATTTACTGTATAACGTAGTATGAAGTAAAGTGTGTGAATTTCTTATATAAAAATGCCTCTCGATATAACGGATTTTTTTTATAACGAATTTTTTTCAGTTATAACGAAGAATTTCTTTATAATTAAATGTAATTATTAATAAATATTGATGCATTATGACATTAAATATCACCCCTGTGTTTTATATTTAAATTATGGATCAGGATTGTATCAGGATCGTATCAGGATTAATAATTCTGGCTATTTTATTTAATATTTAGGCAGAATTACATTAATTTACATTAATTCGGTTGTATTAGGATTCGATGTGAATTGTTATTAATTTATATTTATCA